GGGAGGATCTTTCTCTGCCTCTCTTCTGTTTCTGATAGTTGCTGTCAATCCTTAGCATTCCTTGCCTTGAAACACATCACTAACATCTGTCAGTCATTTCATGGTGTCTTCCCTATATCATCATGGTGTACTTCTCCATATCAACTTCTTGTGTCCTCCTTCCTGTGTCCATAGATCCCTCTTCTCATAGGACACCAGTCATTAAATTATATCACCATAACCCAGTATAATTTTATTCCAACTTTATTACATATGCAAAGACTTTATTTCCAAACAAGCCCACATTCTGGGTTGATGTGATTTTTGAAGAGTATGTTACTCAAACCAGTAAAACACATATCCATTCAGACATATTTATTATGTAAACAAAATTCTCTAAGTGTTATTATTACCAAAGGGAAATAGCATGTTTATACATATTATAATATATTATTTACTCTAATATTATTGATATTAACCCATGATAGTATATATAGATTTACTTTTTAAAAACTGTTTCATGGTTTTTTTTATCCTATATTATAGATATTTTGGTTAATCCCAATTATTTGTTTTTGAAAGCAATGATGTAGCTGTGGAGCAGAACTTGAAAAATTATGGATTATGAGCTAAATTCAGTCTACCACCTATTTTTGTAAATAGCCAAACCCATTTGTTTATATATCATATATGATTGCTTTTGCACTACAGTGATAGTGTTGCTTTATTGTGACTTTAATGCCATTACCTGAAAATTCAAAAGTATTATATATCTGAAAAGTTATAGGAAAAATTTACTGACCATTGCCTTAAAGGAATACAGGAGCGAAAGGGAGAGGGTTTACTCATAATTTTCTTTTATCTGACTTAAAAAAATTAACCGTCAATTTAATATATGGAGAACATATAATTTAAAATGCTGTGAACATTTCATTAGGTCCTGCGAAGAGGGAAAGTGAAACACGCATGACATTAGCACATTTGCTCTTGTGATGTGTATTTTTATAGCATATAGGTCTTTTGGGCCATGTGGTAAAGTCCCTTATTTTGATAAGCACCTCAACCCCCAAGAAAAGTAGCAACAGCCCCCAAAAGCTAGAAGGCAGGACTCTAATTTTCATATTCAGTCGTGAACTTCACAATTACAAAGTTTATCCTCAAACAGAAATTCTTCAAAAAACTTAATCTGGCTTGGAGTTTTTCCAACTCTAATTCTATCATAGGTGCAACCTTTAATTTAAGGGATTCTTCAAGTACGGTTCCAATTTGTTGTGTAGGTCCAATCATATGGTTTACTAATGTCTTTGGAGTTGTCACCCTCAGTCTGGCTTTCTAGCTAGTCTTCAGCACTGCTGCTTTGCAAATTCCTTTTAGTTGTTTACCTATCTTAACCATTTGTAGCTTTGAACTCAATCCCAGAGCCAGAGCCATGCTGGAGTCTTAAAATATTTTGTCTCCAAATATTGCCTCAAGGGAAGAGGCATATGCATTTCCTCATCTAACTTTACTTTCACTTTATGACATGGGTCTTGGCTGCTGTCATCCTCCAGCACCCAGATCGTGACTGCTCTAGAAGTTCCAGATGATCATAATGGAGGCAAAGCTGACAAAGGCCACACAGAACAGATGAAACAACAGTGTGGCCAAAGAACATCAGTAGCATTTGCCTTCCTCCTCCCAGGCCCCATGGCTTTAGGGCAGTTACTACACTCAGCACCACCTTGCCCCGTTGGGATCACTTGTTTGGCAGCAACAGATGAGGTATGACCATCTGTCCATTAGCTTTCTATAATGATCTAGGTTCTGCCAGACCTGCTACATTATGAAGTTAGAAGCATGAATTTAAAAAATCAGTAGCCTGTCATGGTAGGTGGACTTGAGCCTGAGCAGGACCACAGAGTACAAGCAAATTACAGGAACAAGAAATCCAGGTTGCCGTGTTAGTCACCAGAGTTGCACCAGTGGTGTTTCAGTACATGCACCTATGCATGGGTTGGGGGACCTGGCATGAATAACTAAGGAATGGGGAAATGTATAGTACAGTTCATAGATTGTCCAACTTGATAAGTGGGTGCAAGCAGAAAGTGGATGGAGGCTGCATTGTAGCCATTCAGGCATAGTCCAAAGAGACAGGTGAAGAAGATAATATTTTAAATAAATGGAATTGTGAGCAGTGTAATAGCCATCTACTTTAAAAGAAAGGAGAAATAATCTATGGTGAGATACAAAATGCTGGGGCAATGTTTAGTGGCCTAGCAATCAGGTTGGGTTCATGGAAACAAAGGGAATGAAGGATTAGTACCAGGAAATTTAGGTGAAAGGCATGTGAGGTGGCAAATAGGAATAGACACAAAATTTGATGACTTTATATCACATAATAATTCTACCAAAATACCCAAATTCATCCAAATCCAAAGATGTACTGACAAAATAACTTAGTCAATTTATGTTAGCCAGTCTTCATTATCAGCCACTGTGCAGAGCATCAATGGTGGCTAGAAAAAAGCTGCATTTGGATCCAACCACACGGATTTCCACTAAATACCCAACAGCAGAGACTAATAATGAATTCCCAATATAGATATTCCAGCATACAGTGAATCACACTGAATCAATCCTCTCTCTCTCTCTCTCTCTCTCTCTCTCTCTCTCTCTCTCTCT